AGCGCTCTGTTGAACGACTTTTAACAGCGCCGCTGCAAAAGGTCCGCCTGGTTCGACGCGCTGGAGCTCAATCCAGGGGGACTTTGGGGCGCTGAAGTCACCTACCAGCAGGAGATGAGTGAACTGGCAGTTGGAGGAGAGTTGCTTAAGGGTTCGTATGAGGAATTGGTCGTCTTCAGGGGGCCTCGAAGGGCTACGGTAGACCACGTCGCAGAGGAGAGAAACGGACCCGCGCAGCGGTATTTGGACCCACAGTGCATCGCAAAAGGGTGCAGGGGTGTTGTCAGACAGAACAATCGGGACTGGTAGGGCCGCATGTAAGTACAGAGCAACCCCACCAGCCCTTCCCCGTTTTGAGTCAGCTCGAAAAATAGAGTAACCGTCTATCGAGATCTCCGCGTCAGAGACATCTGGTGTGAGCCAGGTCTCTGTGAGTGTGATTATGGATGGTTGTTCAAGGCAAGCTGACTGTTTAACATCACCGAGTTTGTTGAAAAGGCTGAGGCAGTTTGTGTACAGGCATTTCAACACTGCCTCTGCTACCAACACTGCCTCTGCTTCAATACTGCCTCTGCTATTGCTTCACTGGACAATAAAAAATTTGGTTAGCTGTAAAAATATGGATTGACCACAACGCAACAAAATGCCACATTTTGGAGCAAAAAGGTTTACTCCACTTGTAAAGGTTTTGCAGCTAGGAGCATTGTGTGGTTAGTGGGAACCTAGTTTTACGCCTTAGTCCAAACTGACCAACCAGTTCGTGGCAGTGTGGCCTCCGCGCGGAATTCGTGTTTCTAGTTCCTCATTTTCGCAATTTGAATTTTCTTCATAATTCACTAAGCAGTGTGCCTAGTTTTGCCCTCTCTCGTTCTGTTTTCGCCCGCCACATTCAAGCCCTAACGATTTAATATTGTCTCAGCCTGATATGACCCCGAAAGTAATATTAAACCTGGTACCTGTGTCTCCTTTACCATGCCGGTCTGAGCGTGGTCAAATCCACAATAAATATTGTCCACTCTTTACGACATTGTCCATTTTCCGCGCAATGTCCATTACCCACAACCGCTAGTCGTGCTTTACCCTGGCTGTAGCCGTGTGATCATGCCTGACGTTATGTCACCTACTAGTTAGGAGTAAATATTATTATTATCATCATCATTGATGGTTGTGATTTCCTCACTCCGCCACGGCTGTTATCAAACTGGGGCTCCCTAATGTCACAGTCAGCGGATTGCGTTAGCTCGACGTTGTGATCCCTCTGCTTACCAACGACAGATTTGGGCGTGGTACATGGCGTTATGTGTACATTATTGCCATTAAATCTTACACCAGACCCAGCATGGTGCAGTAAACTTGCCAACAGGAGGCCTCACATGAAAGCCTTTAAATGTGCATTGAGCTGCGTATTAAACTCAGCGTGGACAGCCGTCGAAGAAAGGACGCTCCGCGCATTAGCTAACCAAAGTTAGAAAAATTGTTGCGTAATAACATTATGCCCTTCGACTTTGAAAATTTCAACACTGAGTCAGCATCGTTGGTTAGTTGAGTCATCGGTGAAAAAGCTGTCTGCCAATCCTTGTTCATAGAGGGCATAAGTATTGCGTATCGTCGGTGGCAGTTATACTAAAAAAAAGAAGCCAAGCACCATGAGTCCTGCTTCACAAGTAACAGACTTAAGGGAGCAAACAGATTAGAAGCAGGTCAGTGGACACGCTCAATGGGCGTTGCATCTTTCTTTCTCATTGTGTGGACAATTCAGCTGGCATATTCAAGAAGCGGTCTGATGCATGCCTCGAAGAGTACCTGGATGTCAATATAGGTAATATGGGGAAAGGCGTGCAGAAATGCCGTAGGACAACGAATGCCTTTTGAGCCGATTTATCATGGTGGACGGAGGAGGACATACTTGAAGAGAGCCAGAATCATAAATCCATCTTTGGTATCTATTCTCGCGATGCCTTCCGGTCCATTCACACCCTTTTGAGCTTATCATGGTGGACGGAGGAGGACATACTTGAAGAGAGCCAGAATCATAAATCCATCTTTGGTATCTATTCTCGCGATGCCTTCCGGTCCATTCACACCATGCACGAAAAAGACGTTTGCTAGGTCTCTTTCGAATGATATGTGGATGCACTTTTCGCCATTCAGAGTGCTACAGAGTGCTACAGTGTCCTCTACTTTGCAGTGTCTACACCAACTTGGTGGGTGCTGGCGTTTGAAAGTCAAGGTTTCAAGTCCCCTGCTAAAAATAGGCGTGAACAAGAAAGAACATCTGGACGATCGTTAGGTAGATCAGAAGCAAAGTGGTCCCAAAATGGGACCCCAACGAAGGCACGTGCCGGAGAAGGTTAGATCGAGCCTACTTTCACTCAGAATGTTCTATCCATTTTAAAATTACCCACTGAATCCGACAAAACATGTTGTGCAGCAGAAAATGTGGAGGTTGATCGAATTCTTTAGAGTAACTGAAAAATATGACACCATACATCAATCCTTCGCCTTTAGCTTGGGTTAAGCTGTCCATAGATGTGAGCATGTTTGTCACGCAAGAACTGTTTGGGTGGAATCCGCGTTGCTTCTCCGTATACTTCAGCGTATAAGATATGGCAAGTTTAAATGGTCAGTTATTTAGAAAAAAGACTTTTACAGTCCTATTTATGGATTGATTTTAGAGGCCATGGAAGAACCTTAGCAGTGGACCCCAAACTCAGGACCCCCATTGGCTCACCTACCGACCAACCAAAGCATGCCATCATTTGGTCCGTAGCTGGCTTGCGATACATGCGATAACCGGTCTGATGCTCGGTTACGCGTAGCCTTTATCTCCCGGACATCGGTGATGCTTTTCATTCTGCTTTTCGTAACTTCTTCCTTTCCTTTCTACCATGTCCAACTCTGATTGGATTTCTTCCGCTGCAAACTAAGCGTGAAAATCAACACCCACATCTAGGTAGCAACTTAATTTGCCGATTGGCAACCATCACACTTGCGCCAATCAGCTCACTGTTGTTCATTGGTTAAGGCTTAATGGTGGAAGGTCGATGGTTCGAATCCAACCACTGTATCTTGGCTGCTCCGTCCATGCTTTGGCATGCTTTGGTGTCCCGGACCTCACGGATTCACGGATTGATACACAGGATCGAGGCTTTTGCCCAAGTCTCCCGGGTCGGTTTTGTTCTTGTCGGTCGGGCGTCATGGCAGCTCGGCAGCTAAAGGGTGTTGAAGCTCAAAGGTTGTTATATCTATTTTACTGGGCTTAGGTACGAAGCGACAGCTAGGTGCTCGACATCTAAGTGAGCCGGAAGGGATTTTGTGATGGAGAAGTCAGAAGTGAAGGGCTGCAAGGGCGATCGCCAGCTCTCGGTTTGCCAGGCCGCAGAAGAGAGTTCGGTTATGATGTTCCACATTGAGCCGTGATCCACCAGGCAGTGGCAGAATGCAGGGTTTCGTTTGAAGATTTTTCCTTCATGACTCTGAACCGCGAGCCACTGGTTAGCACATTCTTGATGGGGCTTTTAGTCCGTGACTCCGTAGTCTAAATCACCTGGAAATGACCTGGCCAGTAGTCGCCTGTGCACAACAGGTACCTTTTGAGCGACGCTTTACTTTGGTTTTTAAAGTAATGCGACCTTGCTGTATAGTGTGTCGGTGGGCACGGTCGATCGCTGAGTGACCGTAGTGGGTTTTAGGGCTGATCATTTCTAACTCGTTTTTTCTTCAGAGGAGGGCAGCATCGCTGTCAATTTCGCGATCAGTGAGATAATGAACTGAACGTGGGAGGTCTTCAAAACACGTGTTCAAACGGCCTGTGACGAAAACCTTATCGATCTGGAATATGCATACGACACCGTTCTCGTCTTCGAAGAGGAGGAGAAGGCGTGTGTGTTTTTTGGATGAACTAACCAAAGTCAGCTCCTTTGGTATGTACTTTGCACACACAAAGCGTAAGGTCATGCTCCTGGATATGCAGTGTTATTGCTTCAGTTGTGACGTCATTAAGTTTACCAAAAGGTAACAAGCACTAACAAGTGTCTGTCTTGCTAGAATGTGATGAATGCAATAGTTAGGTACATTTGATAAAAATAGGTACAATGCGAAAAGTGGAATGAGCCGAAAAAGTGAACTATCCTTCGAGGACGCTTGCTGAGAGTTCCTGAGCGAAGTTCCGGACGCGGGACGTGTTTTCTCCGCAGTATAGCTGCTACACGTGTTCCGTAGTTGTCCGTGGAGACTTGCGGAGCTCTGCCTCCTGTCCTGTACACGCGAGTTTGTGTTGAGCCTAGCTGTATGCCTATTTATTGTGTATTGTGAAGAGAGGGGTGTCCCTTCGTGTTTGATACTTGCACGAAAATGAATACAACTTGACCTGATGTGCTGAATGAAGTTCATGATCCTGGCGCGTGACGCAAGTGGTAGCCACGTAAACGAAAATGGTTGAGAAGATTTACTGTACATGTCGCAAGTGGGACAGGAATCTTCACGCGTGACGTTTGTGACACGTGATCTGATGAGTGACCTCTACAACAGCCACTAAACACGGCACTTACGATCCAGGGAATGGCACTCGAAGTTGTGGAGCTTTTTACGTTGTATTAGTTCTTATTTTAGTGTGATGGATGAGTCAGTCTTCGAATCTGCAAGGCTCGGATCGCGCTTGCTAATTTGGAACACCTATGGCGTCAAGGCGGTATATCCCTGTATCTCAAGGGACGTGTGTACCAAGCTGTAGTGCGGACTGCTTTGTTGTATGGCTGAGACTTGGCCCGTTCGAACAGAGGAACTGAGATGTCTTCAGGTCTTCGACATTCGTTGTCTCAGAGCCAAAGCTCATGTTAATCGGTGTCCGAGAACCCATAACTGAGTAATCAGAAAGTGAGTATTGGGTTATACAGCGGAGACTTCCATTGAGGAACTTGTCTATCACCAAAAGCTGCGTTGGTTTGGCCATGTGTTGCGTGTACTTAAATATCGTTTGCCAAAAAGAGTGCTTCACAATAAGCCTTTCAAAAAACTCATCGTTGTATAGAAGCGAAGCATCAGTGGTGGACACTGACGTCATACTGTAGACGATGATGATTTTCATTTCACGTTACCATGTCAAGGTCTGTCCTTTGCGAACTCTTCAGAAAGAACCAATTGGAACAAAAAACGCTTTCTCTGACGGACGGTGGTTGAGCGCATGTAACACATGTTCCAAGAACATCAACCAAGTCTCAGTACCGTATATAGGATCGTGCTTACAGAGATATTATATAGGCAACCTGAAAGCAACCACTTAATGCTCGAAATATCTTGAGACAGCTGCGCTAGGCGCTGACCAGACAGACAACGCCCCCGCAATATGCAGCGCGTCACAGCCTCGTACCAAAGCCAGTCCGTGCGCGTCAGCGTTGGGTCAAGTTCAGACGGTGTCCCTCCAATAAGTAGCTTGAGGTTGTCGTATTTTCGTACTCGCACGCCCTCACGCCCTCGCACTCGCCTGTTCGGAACACAGCTGTTGTGTTCCCTTCTGTCTGTGACCCTTTTCTACGGCACTAGGCACTGAAGCGGGTCAGCAGTCAAATACAACGGACTGGCGAACCAGCAGATATAACAGATTAGCGACGCCCGAACCCAGTGAATCATGACAATAACTGCTGAAGCGTTGAAAGAAATTGAAGGTTGAAGAAGAGATTGAAGCTGGACACGGCTTCCGATATTACGATTGTTTCCCGGCGCACCTGGAGAAAGATCGGATCACCGAAACTCAGACCGACAATGGACGCTGCCAGAAATGCTTCAGGTGGTACGCTTCAACTACTCGGTGAATTCGATTGTGAGATGGAGATAGCAAGCCACCGTGATTATGGTATTGCCTATCTTACTGCTTGTGAGCTTAATCTCCTGGGCCTAGACTGGATCGACCGCTTGCATGTTTCAACACTGTTGATCGAAAACTTATGTTCACCAATACCGACAGGAGGTAAACCAACATTACGGCCTGGAAACCGTGTGCTTGTCAGGGACGATCGCCCCGGACACCGAAATGATCTGTTGGAGTCGTCCTCAAAAGAATCAGTCAGGTGATTTAGAGCGTCCAGGTTGGATCATTAACATGGAAACATGTCAATCAATTACAGCCGACTGAGTGCCCGGTCCCAAAGGCGGAAGAACATTCACTAAACCACAACCTGCTGCTTGAAACTTTTGATCTCCCAAGACGAGCACTTTTAGCCACTGCCTCGCATGTACCTTCCAAGACAGATCCATTGTTGCAACCGAGACATCGTATCGGTAGCGCTAGGAAACTAGTGGAACCTTTACAGCTTGAACCGCGTCGACGATCTTACCTCGAATGACCAAAAGGGGGGATGTCAGGAAGGCCAGATTCCTGAAAGCAATCACTTAATGTCCGAAATCCACTAATACTCACAGCTCCACTGGATGCTGACCAGACAGAAAACAGCCCAAACAGTACGAGTCATTGGTAATCAAGGTCAGACGACGCCCCCGCAATATGCAGCGCGTCACAGCCCCGTACCAAAGCCATGCCGTGTGCGTCAGCGTTGGGTTAAGTAGTAGCTTGAGGTTGTTGTATTTTCGTACTCGCACGCACTCACGCCCTCGCACTCGCTTGTTCGGAATATAGCTGTTGTGTTCCCTTCCGTCTGTAAGTATTTTCCGGCACTGAGCACCGAAGCGGGCCAGCAGTCAGATACAACGGATTGGCGAATCAGCAGATGTGACACTTTTATAGTACCACTGGTCATCTCTTTCTGACACCCTTATAGCCATAACAGCTCTCCATATAAGTGGACGTCTTAATGGTTTTTAGTGGACCTTTTCCAAGATGTTAGTATGGGTTCGCCGCGTTTCAGTCAAACAACATATCCTTGCATCTGGAAGTGGTGAAGCATATTTAAACTGATTCACACCAGCATACCCCTAGTACGACGGCGCACGCAAATTCCTCGGACCCCATAGTAGGGAAAAGTCAGAAAACGCCAAAACTCTGGTGAACATTGAGAGCTCTGTAGATAGAGAGGACTTTTGCCACCAGAAACCGCTATGCCCTATATTCGTACATGCGTGCGAATGGACAATAAACCCTAATTACCCGTCAGAATACTCATCATTGTCAGCCGTAATAACCGCGTACTTGGCCTACAGTGGTTGTAGCTACCACAGTTTCGTTCACCGATGATTCGGGGAGGTGGGGTAGGTAGCTGCGCATTGGAGGCGGGATTTGATAAATTGGTGCGTAAATACAGCACACTAGGTGGACTTTTAAGTGGAGGATTAGAAGGGAGATATGCACTGAAGGCAATAGCTTGGATGCATGAGCGTCATTGAGGGCGCGACTGAGCCATGTTTGACAATGTCTCTAACCATTGATGTGGCCCGTCAGAATAAGTGCTAGATCTCCTTCCTGAACTTGAGAATTACGGCAGTGAGGCGTCGCTTTTGAACACTGATGTCCTGCAGTCGATGATGATGACTTCTGTCTACTCACCTGATAAAACGTCCATTCTTATCCATAGAAATGATGCGCGTCGCTGTGTTATGCCCACCATGACAATATCCTGGCATCTGTGGCATCGAAGCTGTCTAAAAAATTGAGGAGCAGATTCTTGAAAATCATGCTGGGTTTCGTCCTCTTGAAGGAGTCGTCGCTCGCGGATTCACTCTTCCAACAGATCTTGGAACAGGGGTACTGCATCCTGTGACTGTCGTTTTCGTTTTTCGTCCTCAGGAGTCGTCGCTCGCGGATTCACTGTTCCAACAGATCTTGGAACAGGGGTACTCCATCCCGTGACTGTCGTTTTCGTTTGTTGGCTTGAAAGCTGCCTTTCACTTGATTGTCCTTAAAACGCTGTGCATTAACTCCAATAGACGCGCGAGGAAATGCGCTAGGTTCTTGTCCAAGTCCACTAAATCAGGTGGTGTCAGGCAAGTTTTGCTCTTTCAACTTTTGTCTCCAACTTCGTCGTTGATGTCTCTGTGGGGTCAAAATGCTCTCAGGGCGTTTGCAGACTTTGAGTAGGCAGAAGACATAGCTCTTCGTGGACATGACGTAATCGTCATGCAGACGATATTAAATAAGCTACATGATTCTCACCGCTTGGCGTCCGCTTCACACTTGCACAGTATAGAGTGCTGCTGCTAACCTGCGTAAACTGGAACCCGGACCTTGTGCTTACGGATGAGCCGATTTAGGTAGTAGACAGATTTGTTTACCCTCAAAGCTGTATCAGTTCAGGTAACCTAGCTAAAAATGTTAGCTAAGGTGTTCCATAAGCTATTCGACCAACTTCCTTGGAGAACCCTTTCCGCAAAACAAAATGGAGGATGAAAATGAGCCAGTAAAGAATTATAAAAGCCATTGCCAAGAAACTCAGCTGCACATTTCATTGTCATCTTTTCAGATGAGGACCTCGATGCGGGACAAGTCAATGCTTAGAGACATTGAAAGTTATGGCCTCGGTCAGGCGTCTACTGGCCTGCATACGTCCAAGCTGTTGCTCCCAGTGCTCTCTCTTTTCTTTGCTGACCTCAGTGAAAAGTCCACTGTTGCTCTTTGACGCACGCCTTAGTTATGTCAGGTACTGCCTCAAGTACATGGGTATCCACCGCTATCTTCCCAGTCCCCCGATGAAGAAGACCGTGGCAGTCGCAACCGCTTCATAACGTACACGGCGAGATGGCTCAGTGGTTAGAGCGCAAAGTTACTGACTGGAAGGTCTGTAGTTTGACCTCGACCTGCATCTCGACTTGCCCTGTCTAGACTTGGGCAACGTCCTAACCCTCGTGTAGTAGTGTGACAGCTGAGTATCGAAAGGGTACTACAGCTGAGTGATGATTTATGCGTCTTACAGCTGAAGATGATGATACCGAGAAGTGGTCATCTGTGTAATCCAGATTTCTTAGTCTATCATTTGGGGCCAGCTCTACACATCCAAATGACCAGTTCGCAATGGTGTCGATGGTGAATTTGATCGGGAACGGTGATAGCTGTATTCAGCTCTGTCCGAAACGACGAACGTGCGTGTAATTGATCACAGGCCCTAACTCGACCTGAGGTTTGCTCATCTTGTCATTGAATGATTTTCACGTGTTTCTCAAGTACACACTTGCCGATCAAATATCTCCGCGTAGTAACCAGGATCCTTTTGGCGCTATTCGCCAAGGTGTTTCACGTGGGAGAAGGATTTGGATCTCACCCTGTCGTTCATTCTGAAATCCGCCCAGGATACGTTGAAAAGTCAGCTCGACGTGAATGCTCTTGGTTAAAGGGTGATCCTTCTGATATTTCACCCGTATATGACTTCAACCGCTATGAGCGCACAAAAACCACTCTGAACACGGTCTGCTCAATGCTTTCGTCTGGCGAAGCCCGCGAAGATCAGCAGATGGATCAACAGTCGGCGAATGCATTCAAATTGCCAAATTTCTAATTACCAGCATGCTTGGGCTTATACGACTTCCTAATTTTCTTCGTTGAATGTATTCAACTGGACCAATCGTTTTAATTCTACTGTCATGTCGGGGCGAGATGGACCAAGTGGTTAGAGCATGAATTTACTGACCGGAAGGTCCGTGGTTCGAACCCGACCTCTGGCTCTCGACTTCCCTGTCTAGGCTTGGGCAACCTGGCAGTATCCCAGCCCTCGTGCTTCCTTCGGGTGGCATGGCAGCTAGGCACCAAAAGGGTGATACAGCTGGATGATTCATTTTTTTATTTATTTATGTCCAAAATTCCGACTGGTTCGATTTACCATCTGGTTTTACCCGGCTTGCGATATTTTCTTTCTAAGTCATGCGTGCGTCCAAATGCTCTGTTCTGAATTGGACCCAAAGTTTTACCTCCAGTTTTGCATTTGTTCCAGTTTTTAGCTCGCCCGTATCTTGGCTGGGGTTTGTCCTAAATAAGAAACTCTCGCTTTGCACTAAAACCGATGGACTCTGCAAAGCGCGGTGGGGAAACCCCGGGCGCTGGTACCACGGTTCCACAGTTCACAAAAACTGTGTCCTACATATGCGGCGGTGAGTCGCGATTCCTTTTATTTTCTTTGTTTTCACCTAAAAATGCTCCAACGCGATGGGGATAGTTGGGATTCAATATCTTGCTAAGCAAGTTCAAACTTGACTGAAGCTGTTTTATTCAGCAATCTCAAGTAGGCCGCATCCTAGTTGCTTGATAGCTGAAGTCAGTGTAGTGGCTACGTTGTAGTTTCCTCACTCTAGAGGCATCTGGTTAAAGACCCATTGTTGGCCTGCAAGTGCGTTTGTCTAAGTCTGGGTTACAACTGCATTCCTTTGACTCCTACTCTGATTAGTCTCAGTTGGATTTGTGTAGGATTAAAACCAGCAAGTGGAAGACCACGAATTGGATTTAAAACTGAGTCGGGGAGACTGATCCGTGGTTTGAACACGACCTCTGCCCCTCGACTTCCTCTGTATAGGCTTGGGCAACCTGGCAGTATCCTCATGCTTCCATCGGGTGGCATGGCAGCCAGGCACCGGAAGGGTGTTACAGCCGAACGATTTTTTTCGGGGAGACTTTAAGTTAACTTTTTCATCTATATTTAATGAGTTCATCTGAAAAAGGTATGTTTCTTTCATAAGAAGGCTACCGAGACCGTCATCCGGAGGAGTGCCGTCGCGCAACCCCACAGAAACTGCTTATGGATCGTCATTCAAAACACTTGGGCTACCCTGTCAGCTTTTCGTGTAAAAATGTTAGGTTCCGTAACCAGAATACTTATTTTGAGGGCACTTTAGTCTCGTCGCTTCGTGCTGTTTGCGCTTTGGCAAAGTAATGGTTCAGCTGTGACACCATTTCGGCACATACCTAACTTGCAACGAGGGCTGAGGTTACCATAGCCAGGTTATCAAATCATAGGCAGTGGATCATTCCTTTTCGTACACATCACTTTTGTATGTAATTACGAGGTGTCACTGTTTCATGTAATGTTCTAATCCCGGCACGTTAATCGAACTGATTTATCCACGTACACATGTGCATGTATCAGCCACCTAATAGGATATGTTTTCCAAAACACTTGGTCCATATCGTGAAATCGGGGGGTTATAAGGCCCCTGGGCAAATGGTCTCCATCCCATGTTTGGAGACATGAACTTCAGTTGTAGAATGGAAGGTGTTTGAGAGTTAGCAATTTCAGGTTGTTCCTCACAGTATTACGGCGAATGTGTGTCTACGGCTGGGAAATTCGGGAAGCTAGATTCCCAACCTGGCTTACCGCCTTCATTACTGTTCTTGTGCTCGCTTTTCTGTACAGAATGTCGTGCAGAGAATGAAATCCGACCTCGAGAGCTGGTTCGTTGTCTCGAATGTGGGCATCGAGTTCTGTACAAAAAGCGTTCAAAGCGAAGTAAGTTTGCTTAGTTGACCCATTCTGTTGCACAACTATGTGCCTGTTTCTGCTGTAGTATGGTCGCCGGGTTACTTGCTGGGTTGCAGACGTTTCGCCACCAATTGAGGTGACGTCATCAGTTCATTGTTATGGTATTGGGAGGAGCAGTGCGTTGGTTGTTGTTCGCAGTTGGCCTACCTATACTGAGTTTGTAAACAAATCATCAGTGTGTGTTCAGACATTTGTTGTGCCTTTGTTGAAACCTGGCCCCGTATACTAACATGCAGCTTTCGAGGACTACTATATTGCCGAGTTTTCTTACCCTGAATCCAGCCCGAACTCTTGAAATCTCACATGTTCTTATGGTGGTCTTGTTCTCTCGTTGGCTAATATGTTTTTCTTAGTTGGCTGGTACGTGATTCAGTGTTTGGCTGCTGAGTCAGAGCAGTTTCGTTCAGGATCTCAAACCCCGGCGAACCCCTGGACTAATGAACCATAGTTAGGTCAAGGCTAAATGATGAATTGAGGTGGCGCAAACTTTTTGATCGGTGGAATTTACACTGCCGTTCAAATCACGTCCTTACTACGTCTAAAGACCATGTTGTTCTTGTCGTAGAAGGACAATAGGCTTCTTCAGGCACACTTATTTTACTTTATTGCAGCTTAAACCTACGAGCGGATGAGCCGGCCCCATAATTGTCGGTGGCCGCAGTCGCCCACACTTGGTAATCCTTAACAAGATCTCGGCAGATGGGCATCAATTTTTTGAGAATATGGCCATCGTGGGAACAGACCGTTTGCCTTTAGTAGCTGAAGGAGCGGTCGACTGTTTCCTCGTAGTCCTTTCTTCCCCACTCCAGTTGCCTTCTTTGCAAACATACTATGTTCACGCCAAATTGCACCACGTCTTGTAAACTAATGGAGGGTTGGTCTATCTCAGTTATCGACGTACACTATTGCTGTGCCTGTTCTTATACGTTTTGAGTCTCCCTGATTGATAAAGTTATCAGCAAATGTGTATTCTTTGTATTTCTAAATGAGTTTTGTTCTGTTTTTAGTGAGCGTCTTCGAGGCTCGATAACCTTGGCAGAATACCGGTGCCTGGAGACGATAACGAGAAGCCCACGGGGTATTTGGATTTGATCTCGCCGAACGCATTTTGTACAACAAATGTACAATAAAATTCACACTTCAATGCATATATCCGGTATCTATCTTACTTCCAATGTGCAATGCTGCGTCTGTTCACTTGTTAACCTACACATAGATGTTACGGCCCGCAGTATCATTCCGGAGCGTAATTCTTGTTCTTATGTCAGTCAAAGTTAGTAACGTTCCCCATTATCGATGTAATTCGAGTTCTCTGCCGAATGTGGGAACCGTCGCCGACGATGGTGAGAGTTGTATTCCAGCAAAATTGTTCTCCTAGGGTTGGCGGTCGAGTTATTACCAAGTGTTTTGTCAACGTTTGTATCAGGTGTTTCACTTGGCTCCCTACGTTATGTTTGTACTAAATGGATGACAGTGACTTTAGTCCTTTGTTTATTTGCATTAATATTGCTCTCGTTTCACTAGTCCACCTTCTGTCCTGGCACAATTATTCTTATGAGTCCACACGGAAGACTGAAAAAAAACTAGAGGACTTGGATTACACAGACGATATCGTTTTGCTATCGGACAATCTCTAGTCCTAAGTAGAATGTGGAAATTGGTCTCTTGTTTTGGCGTGCAACTTCACTTTCGAGATGCAAAGTATTGATCCAGGATTTTGAGACCCCTTATGCCATTTTGAAACTTAGGGGCTGTTGATCGGTTAACACAGCGGTCGTAATCTGGCAGATAGGACCAATGCATGGTAGCAAAGCTGGAGCAACATTCGCGAACGTGTATTATTTGATTTGACTTCGCTGAAGCTGAAGGGCCGTACGTACAGGACAACTGTAACTGCAGTCTTAGTTTATGGCCGCAAAACTTGGGTTTTCTTATCCAACGTTTCTAAACAGCCCCGAGCCTTTGGTCGCCGGTGACAATAGCAAAAGTCAACTGTCTGTAGTATGAACGCAACGAAGTGGTATGTAAGCGTATACTTTGATACGAAGCAAAAGCACTAAAGCAGAAAATAAAACTTGGGCTAGAGTGATTAGGACTACGCATGCCTAACCGCCGTCACGCAGGCTTCGCATACATACCACGTAGATACCGAGTTACGCTTCTGGAAGTATCAAAAACGCGAATGATACCGGAAGAAGCAATGCGGAGTTGCATTTGCTTTAGACTGAAAAGCCATCAAGGACTTCGTTTTGTGGGATCCTAGATAAGAATTGACATCAGTTGTTTCAGTGATCCCAGCATACAGTATGTTTGGTCACTCAAGCGACGAAGACGAGTTTTTTTTTGGGAACAATTGCAGCCGCTGCCAACCATGTCACAAAACGTACTGTTCTGGTAGAGCCAACTAGTGGAACGCTTAGGTTACTAATAAAAAATATAATAATGCCTCGGTTCATTCAAAAATTCAGCCAGCTATTTTTTCGCGAATTCGGTCTCGGCGCTGCAGCTGTTAATCAGCCGTGACTGACCAAGAGGATACTTTCTTGTACTGTACGAAACGACGAACGGACAGTCAGCTGGACTGCATAATCGTTCGATCGTGTTGGATTTCTACTTGGGACTGTTGGTCTTCCCGAGAAGCTGATACTGAACATGGAAAAGGGTCGGACCACATCCTGGTTCGCAAAAAGTTCAGATGACGCTTGGTGATGTTACAAGGTGTTGATGTCTATCCCCCCAGAAAAAAGACCTGAACGTCAGAATGCTTTATTGAGCAACCGGCGTCCAAAGGGATTGGCATCACACTATCGAACAGCAGTTGTCCATTTATTGATTTTCCGGTTTAATTTTCAATCCGACTCTTGGCTGTTCAAACAGTTTCGCCGCACGCACTAGTCGATCTGGTTCATATATGATAAATCGATTCTAAAAGCTTATTCAGAATGCTAGCATCCTACGGTTTATTTTCTTGTCTTGACGAAACAGATAAGAGTAACCCAGTTATTTGGTCAGTCCTTAGAGGACATATGCTTCATCGGTAAACTACACTGGTTTTGACGGCTTTGAGAGCATCATTCATTGGAAAATTTGTTGGGGTACGGCTCGCCCGCCACACAATAAGCACCAATCATATGGTACAGTTTTTGGCATGTCAACCGCATATCGGGTTCTTCTCCCTAGATGATAATGACGATTTTTCAGATATACCCGTGCTAAACCATTCGGTCTGACTTCTAGCGGTGGTTGATGAAGGTCCCGTTCCTCACTAAGTTCCGTCCATCTCCTACTGAATCACGAAATGATTTAAACGTTACCTTAATTCATCACATCTCTCGGCTTTCAGTCCGAAGGAACCAAGCATGAACTGTCTTATGCACCGGTGCAAGCTTATCGCGATGTTACATTACCGCGCACGAAGGAAGCTTTAGGGAATGGACCAGTGGATTTAGAATCCACAGTCCTGTGCATAAACGGTGCTTTGTCCATGCATCGATCGAAATCCGCAGGCTGAATTGACAGACCCAAATGCCCAGCAACCTGAGGCGAACATGCCGCGAATTGGGCAATCGAAAAACATCTCCCTGCAATGACACTAATGGGTGGCCGCTGGCAGAATGCGACCATACATAAGCTAGTGGAAATTGTTTTCTAGGGCACATAACTCACATGGGAGAAGTGGTATCTTTGTGAGCTAGGCGCACATACGCACGCGAGAATATAAGTGTTGTTTCAAAAGCTATTGCACGTATTCGAATTGGGCAAAAAACATCTCCCTGCGATGACACTAATGGGTGACCGCCGGCAGAATGCGAACATACATAAGCTCGTGGAAATTGTTATCTAGGGCACATAACTCACATGGAAGAAGTGGTATCTTTGTGAGCTATGCGCACATACGCACGCGATAATATAAGTGTTGTTTCAAAAGCTAGTGCACGTATTCCTGTTAGTGATTCTACCTCAATGACACTAATGGGTGGCCGCTGGCAGAATGCGACCATACATAAGCTAGTGGAAATTGTTTTCTAGGGCACATAACTCACATGGGAGAAGTGGTATCTTTGTGAGCTAGGCGCACATACGCACGCGAGAATATAAGTGTTGTTTCAAAAGCTATTGCACGTATTCCTGTTAGTGATTCTACCTCACAAGGCACGACAGATATTGCTACACTAGGTTATGGACGTCTGAATGTTTGTTGCGGCCAACTTTTAAGCTGCTTCAACAAAATCTTTTCGGAAACCATATCAATCCGACCGATTGACTGTGTGATACGATGCAAACTATCACTTGGGAAAAAGGTGAAACCCATCCGTGGTTGAAAACGGCTCACTGAAAAAAGTAATTATGCATAACAGATTAGACTGCAGGTACAAAATCCGCCAAGGCTTTGGGTTATCGATGGTTTTTAAAGCCTCGCAGGGAACTCACAAAAGCCTTAGCCAGTTCACGATAAAAGTCTCGCATCAGCTCGCCTATGTAACGCGGGTCCCATATATTTTTATCACTAATGTCGCCGGTGTTGTTGTTATTCGAACCTAGTCCTTCATCTTCATCATCCACACTGCTCCTGGTTGGTGCGCTGTCCGACGACTCTTTGATCGTATCATCTACGTTTGTTTCCTTGGACTTTAGTATCTCCTGTACGATAGTAGAAGCGTCGACATGACAACGTTGCAGGTGGAGCGCAGGTACCATCAAGTTATATCGATCGATGGAACGGTTGATTCTCTTCGCCTCTTCTTGAAATTCCTGCAATGAAAAAAATAGGAAAGCATACTCCACGGCGATAACTTATATATTTAAAAAACGTTGATGGACATCCGACTTCAAGGTGTCGGTTGGGTCTTTAGTGTATTCACTTGGATACTTTTGAAAATATCGATTTGGACTTTCGAATACACTAACAAGTTACTAGAGTGAATCGGTTCAGATCATGTGACCGCTTATCGGATTATTTCCTAGAATGTGCGCTAATCGTGGTTGGGAATAGTACTGGTACAGTCACTTCAACGTAGACTGAGTTGAAGGAAAACCATCAGGATCCGTCAGATGTGTAATTGTCCTGTTACCCACAGAAAGCACCAAAATTGCTATACTGTTGAAACAAAAGTAATTGGATCGTGGATCCTTTAACCAGGAGATCACGTTCTGACCTTGATGTTGCATTCAGCTCTCACCCCGAGGGAGTTGTTCGTTAGCTATGAATAATGAGTCTAAATGGGTTCGGGTTCGGATCGATAGGGCTGATTTTATTAGTGAATACTGTTTGTGTCTCGGGTCGATATTCGAGGTGGCTTTATTTGTTTGGAACCAAACTCGCTCAACACAGTCCCTGATTCTGTGAATCCATTAAGTATTGGAATATGAAAATTGGAGGGTTCTTTCCATTTAATTGTATCGAATGTTTGCACCAAAATGACTTTCAGATGCCGATTTAGTAGTATAATGAAGGCATTCAGCTAAGATGAAAGCGTCACTCAATGTTTAACTGGTTTGTAGATGTACCTTTAGACTGGATAGAGCTTCGTTTGCTCGTTCCCCACCTGGCGCTTGTCTAAGCGAAAAAACCCTAAAAACTTGTTGTGGAACCTCACTAACGCCTTTGCGTGTCACCTGATCAAAGTCCGGCGCAATGTGTGCGATAGATGCCTGAGGAACAGACGTTGACACTATTCTATCATCCGACCGACATAGGTATTAGGGGCACCATATTTCCGACAGCTAAGCCGATATCGCATTAGGCGTGCCCACTTTGACTCGACTCATTTCGGCTAAAATTGGATTGCATTATTTCAATTTGATCATACCAAGATTTCCTGTGGAACCTTGCGCTTTTCAGCTGTGATGGACATTCCCCAGCCTGGTTCATTTAATGTCGTTAGCATCCTAACAGGCTGCGATTTCAGGCCCGTTAATCTGATTGCATATATAATGCACCAATGCATTCGGCGAATGAATGACCCGATCAATGTCACATCTAAAAAGAGCATATGAACCCAACTGATTTTGCATGATACACGGCTGAGTACGCTGCTGTGAGTCCTTGGAGAACTGACTCAAAACGGTGGAAGGTTTTGAACCGGAATATAGGATGAAATGAATTCCGAAGAAGTCAATGAAGTGGAACCTCGTTTATATCTTCGTAATGTACTACTCATAAGGTTGCTGAAAATCCGTCGACAGCCCACGACCGGTTTCGCCCTTTTTGGGGCTCATCAGGTAGGCGCAGTCCCCGGGTTTCCATCAACCTTATGTTCTACTTGAAACAAAATGGTACGGAATTAGCGAATATACACTCATTTGCAAACTGATTTGCTTTTTGCAAATGAGTGTATATCCGCTAGAATCTCGTTTATTTTCGGCGCCCTGCTGCAGTTGGTTCACCCATAAGACATTGCGAATCGCTCGAAATGTAGTCGCATGAACACTCAACCATCCCTCGTATCTTATTTCCGGCAGGGTACGATAATCTTGGTAGGAGAATGCTGTGTTTCTCAGATGGCTCCAGTGTTCGTCCTGGATAGATGCCGAAATGTAGTCGCATAAACACTCAACCATCTCTCGTATCTTATTTCCGGCAGGGTATGATAATCTTGATAGGAGAATGCTGTGTTTCTCGGATGGCTCCAGTGTTCGTCCTGGATAGATGATGAATTAGTCGTTGCTGACAATTTGACTATACAACAGGCACTCTAAAATTCGGAGCTAATTCGATAGGATTGCTAGGAAACTGTCACCAATGGCCGCCTAATGAAGCTGATCTCGTTTCCACGAGTTGTCATACTCATTTGGAACTGACCAGGGTCTAAGCACGATTAGGGAGCACAACTTGTTTGGTTCATACACACTATAACCGGACGAGGCAGTTTCTCCTTTATCGTGAACAGTTCCGGATTGCGAGTTAAGAGGTTAGCGGAACTCCGTGTTATACTCTGAACACAATCTCCGCCCATCCCAGCATGCTTACTGGATGTCGAGCTTGTCATCAAGGGGTGGGGGAGAGGATAAGATCACGTAAGTCAAGCGGCATAACCTAAACAAACATTGGCGGGACTACTTCAAAGCCGCCGAGTAGCGTGAAACCATTGGAATTTTCCACAGCACGCAGCCAGGAAGACCACTTCCCAGGGCCGCTCCCCAAGAGACTGTTCCTAAGAGAAAAATGAACCTGACTGGTCCAAAATGCGGATAAAAAACGTGGCCGACGATGTAAAAAAAACTTCCAGTGTTTGACGACCGATATTTTCGGAGCATTGCCCGAGTATGCTGGGAACACCGGAACAGCAACGCCCAAGTACATCGAATGGTATTCGGAAGAAGTAACTCACCCAGGATTGATGAACTGGTCACACTGCATAGGTTGAGCTGGCTTGGCCACGTACTCCGTATGCCAGTCGACCGACCTCTTCGAAAAGTCCTTTTCTCAGAACCATGTAAAGGTTGGAAACAAGCCAGGGGAGATCAAACAATGATTTGGCAGCGAAGTGTAAAAGCCATCACCATCAAACTCAGCTGCGCTGGCCACTGTCGTCTTCCTAGATGAGGCCCCGAGACAGGCCACGTCAATGGTTAGGCATTATCAAACATGGCCCAGTCACCCCGTCAATGGCGATCGTGCATCCAAGCTATTGCCTTCCCAATCCCCCGCTAACAGTTCACTGACAGTCCTGTGCTCGTGCACCAATTTATTAGCCCCAGCCTCCAATGCGTAGCTACCTCCCACCTCCTTAAATCATTGGTGAACGAAACTGTGACATCTATAACCACTGTACGAGGAGTATGCGGTTCTTACAGCTGATAATAATTATGACGATGAAATTCATTTATACTGGAGGTTACGGTGCCCCGAGAGAAATGCTTCCAAGGTGACCGCGTTCTGCCGGTCATGGGCATTGTTTGCTGCGCAGACACCGACTTCTAATTAGAAAGAGACGGGATTCGTTTGCTTCAGGAGCCAGATAATAGACGTTTGACTGGTCGTGGCGCTTATCCCACTGAATATTGTTCACATCCATCAACACCGCTGAATCTGTGGCCCAAAGCATTTCGTATCTACGGGGGCATTCCACTCCACACAGTGAAGGTAATCGATCAGTGTTAGCCAAGTCCGATAATGTTCATCCGACAGGCCTAGTATTTACGGTGTCACATGAAGATAATACCGTCCTAGCATGTACACCGCATCGAGGACGATAGTAACACACTTCTGAGTATATTGGTCAGTTTCGTTTGACTCTCGAGATGCCACACAAGCGGTCGTGCCTTCACAGAAATTTCGATACTGATAAGGTCATTACTACGGCTCAAAATGACCAAAATCAGTCCACCTGTACGAAAGAAACGATCAGTTACTGCAGAAGAACAAGGGGCAAACAAGCGTGAATACAATCGCCCGTTCAGACGTGACAATTTAGTTGCGTCCAACGTGCGCTGGTGGAGTAGTGATAACACACTCGCATCGCGTGTCAGCTGTTCCAAGTTCGAATCCCGCTATGATCAAGGATGGTATCTGATACGAGCGAAAGTCAGGTTTGGTTCTCCAGCTTCGTATGGATTCACCAGAATAACTGTCACAGAACAGGAGGATGGCTGTTCACACAAGCGTGATGAGAACGCGAAACAACAGCCTAGACACCAGTAAAATCCATCATTATCAAGACCTTGGAGCAAGCATGGAGACAATGAATCACGGAGGGACCAAGACGGGAGGGCAATGTGTGTCGACTAGTGACATTTAGCTAAGTTTCACGGGTTCTTGTGGCGGCCACTCCCCCTGCAACAAACTATCTAGATTGAGAACTGCAGCGACTGAGACACTGGTAAAAAAACACCTAGATGAGCTTTCCATCCCACTACTTCAAGCGAATCGTCAAAAACACGTTTGTTGGTTCATCAGTTTAACAGCTATAAAATCAACAAATTGTGCACCTTCAAGAAGGGCGCGTTTTGACCGGTGTTGATGATGCGTGGAGATGACCTCGTTTATTCATATCAGGAGTCTTTCTTACCTAATTTTGCATAGGCTGTCCATCCCATTCACTAGTCTGTCAGCTGAAGTAGTCCTGATATTCCAAAATCGAAAAATTCGAACGCTGTTACGGTGTGAGTCACAGGCCCACTTCTAGGAATTCAATGTTTAGAATGAGTCACTTGAACATAATGAAGGTTTTCCATGGGAATTTCGTTTTGTAGATGAAGCCAATCTGTCAAAAGAAGCATCGTACAGTTGTTTCTTCCTTATTCGGAATCACCAGCTGTGCGCACCTCACGAGTTAATCACACTGCTGATCAGCCACTCGTGGCTCAACGTCTGTGTCCAAGCTACTAGCTGAAAGGTCGCCGGTCCGGAACTCTAGTTTCGCGAGATACACACGGCTGCCAATGATTCCAGTCGTGCAATGTTTCCCGGCTTTTCGACAGGTTGGCTTCACCCACAGCACGAAATCTTCGCTGAAAATCCTCAAATCCCAATCTATCAACAAAATGATGAGAACGCGAAACAACAGCCTAGACACCAGTAAAATCCATCATTATCAAGACCTTGGAGCAAGCATGGAGACAATGAATCACGGAGGGACCAAGACGGGAGGGCAATGTGTGTCGACTAGTGACATTTAGCTAGGTTTCACGGGTTCTTGTGGCGGCCACTCCCCCTGCAACAAACTATCTAGATTGAGAACTGCAGCGACTGAGACACTGGTAAAAAAACACCTAGATGAGCTTTCCATCCCACTACTTCAAGCGAATCG